GATTGTCTGAACCTACTTTCTCAAAAAAAAAAAAAAAAGCGTCTTGTGTTGGATAAAAGCATCTACTAAATAATATTTAAATAAATAAATAAACTATGTATCCTAACTCTACTTCTGTGTGGCTTTTTATGAAAAATGCTTTGCCCTCCTTTCAGCTTTCCCATCCTTCTTCCTGGACCATCTGGCCCTGAACTAAAAAGATCACTAAGGCTGAGACAGGTGACCTGCAACAGCGTCTGATGCACGTTTTGACATGATCCAGTGCCATGTTTGAATGTTTGAAGGAGACAGTGAATAATAAAAAAAAAACAGCAAATTTGGCCTTTTTTCTGTTTATGTTTGCCTGAATGTGTCTTCCCTCTGGAAAAAACAAACAATATTCAGACAAACTTTTTGACAAAAGTTGTTTTCCATCAGAGGTGTGAATACCTGCAGCAACAAACAACAATTGACCAGTGTGCTCATGCGCACACACACATATATATATATGTGCGTGTGTGTATATATATATTTTATTTATATATGTATATTCCAGACATTTACAGCAGAAGCTTCTTCCAGTTTTTACTCAGGTAACTCAGGGAATTTTACAGCAATGGGTGTTGTTTTAAGCTATGCCGAGCTTCAGAAATACAGAACCACTATACAGAATACAGAAACTTACCGGTTGCCATAGGCAGTGTGAGTAAAACACTGGATACCTACATGGAGTGCAACACACCTGAATGTGGATGAAGTGTGGCTCATCTTATATCTGGACCGCTTTGACTTCAAAAACCACATTTCTTTGCACTGTCAATGGCACACACAGTAGAATAAAGGAAAAGAGTATTGCTTTTCATTTTATGTCTTTGCATTTAGCATTCAGAATCATTAAAGCACAATCTGAGACGGCCATCCATCTTCTAAATGCTAATCCTGGTTAGGGCCTGGAGCTTTTCCAGGCAGTGTGGGGAACAAGGCGGGGGTGCCCCCTGGATGGGATGCTAGTACAATGAAAAGCAAGGAAACACATAGTAAAATGAATGAAACATTATTAATTAGCATTAAATCTTCAATAAAACGTTTTTTAAATGACTTCATGCACAAGAAACTTATAAATACAAACAACCCTCCTTGGATCTCCCTTCATGTACTATTATATTAAGAACATATTTCAGAAACACAGTCCTTTCGCAATACAGAGGTGACATAATATTATGGTTATTCTTGACACCAATAGCAATAATCAATCTGCATCCTTATATCATATAATAAACTCCGTAGTAATTGTTTTTATCTTTTCAGGGTAATAGTAATTACAGTCACACCCTTAACACTTGATTTCCTCAAACAAGTTGACGTGCACACATACAAAACAAATTATTTATGCATCATGGGCCAAATGTTCATTTGATGTGTCACTGCTAGAAGTGTGACAGGAATAGCATGGTAGATCGCTCAATGTGTTGCATATTAATGTTGCTCTTTAGTATGAAGGCAATAAATGTTTCCTTGTAGCTGACAAACTGGTTTTTTAACATGCAGTTCTGTCCTCTTTGGTATTAACATCAGAGGCCAGTCTGGTGTATTTCACCTTGGTCCAAAGTTTTTTCCTGCAGAGTACTGGAATCACATACATAGTTTAAGCCCATGTTGTTAGGATTTATAGTTGTTGTATGCACATATTTCTCTTTTTTATGGTTTAGCAGCAAGTGAACAAGTGTCTGATGATGCTAGTAATTGATGTGTCACCACAGGTCATATTCTACAATGTAGATCATTTAGCATGTAATTTAGTTAATTCCCAGCAGCTCATTTGTGACCATATGTGTTAATGTACAGGAGTTGATGTGTTTATTATGCAACACCAATAGCAATATTATACAGGGCATATTCCAAACATAAAAATGCAAATATACATGGCTATGTACTTAGCTGTTGACCTTTATTAGGTTGTACATGAGAACAACCACAGATCGATGGGCCACAGATTCTGACCTTAGCTTAGTCTCCGTAATTTGCCCATATATGACTCATTAGGAAGTAGCTGTCTTAGGGTCCACAGCTTCCTGACTTTCTCTACATTTGACAAATAGTAAAGGATTAAATCTCCTCCAAAGAGTTTCATCTTGGGCTTGTCGTCTTCCCCAATCTCCTGCTGCTCCTTGCTGGCTGTTGTTCATCCTGATGTACTTTCAGCTTCGGTGAGAAGGTCAGGTCCCCTCCAATGTGGGCACACAAAAACGATGAGGATCAGAACATCTGGTGAGGCCTCTGCTTTTCCCTCTTTATAAAATTCACAGGAGCTGGATGATTCGGGTGTAAAATTAGAATGAATAATTGATGTGGTGTGGTGCAGCAAATCACTCTCTTTTAGTTAATTGGATTTACCAAAAAATGAAGAAAAAAAAAGGATAGTAATGCAACCATATGCAGTAATGCAGTCATAGCAATGATCAGAGAAGTGAATAATGTAACTCCCTCCACTACAGCTCTCTACAGAAGAATAAAAGTCAGAGGCTTTTGTTCCATAGTCCTCAACACTGGTACATCTGTACATGAACTAACAGAACGTAACAGAATTTGAGAAAGCTTTCGTTAAGTTTGACCTGTGGACATGCCTCTGGTTTACAAAACTTTATGACTTGTTTGTGTAATTTGGTGCAGTGATAAAGGGATCTGTCCCATGATAGAAGCACTTTCTGGTAGGACCAGAGCTGAGTACCAGTATGAAGCTTTTAAAGATGCCTTTGAATGTTTTTTTTTCTTCTTCTCAAAGTGTAGTAGTGCTTGGTTAAAGACAATGCCTGCAAGGCATGACAGACCACAGTTTTTTTTACTAAGCCTGAGTAATATTACTGATGAGTAGCTTGCTATATTTAATACAGAGAGTGCGCATGAATAAAGAAGGAGAATACCCAAGGTTTAATCAGCCTATCTATCTTTTATACACACTTGAAACTTGAGGTTATATGCTGCAGCTGCACATATAGTTTAAACGGTGCCAATTTGTAAATAGAATTCCAGTACATGGGAGATAAGAATTTGTGGTCTTGCTCTGGGACAAAACTATCCCAACAACATATTGGATACCAAGGGCAGTCCATCTGTTGGCTAATAAAAGAGGATAGAAATAAAGTGGTAAGAGAATAGTTATCTTGCCCACAGTGAAACAGATCTTTCAATAACTGTAGATGTCTGCCCCCTTCATTTATAATCACTGTGCAGCTTCTGTTACTCTCCGCTAAAGCTAGTTAAAACCTAAACACACGCCGAGTGTGTAAAAAAGGGGAAGACAGCTCAGATCGTGCTTGTCTAAAAGAAGAATGCTGTTATCAAAGTGAAGACACTATGATGGAGGTGGTTCAATAAACCATTAGCTATGTTTAACTAACACCATTTTGTCAGAGCCGAAATTTCATAACGCTGATAGCGAAAGCAGAGCAGGTCCTCTGTGTGGTTTCTTCTCCTTCCCTGTCTGTTTGGCTTCCGTTGTTGTGCTCTTGCCTCCACATCAAGCTGGGGAGAGCATATGCTTTCCAGTGTGCTTAATAGGGCATCAATGATTAGAATACTGATTATTCTCATTAGCAGTGGCTATGCTGTAGAAGAGTAATTGGGTGGCTGTTTCTTTCAGATTGTTGATCATACTCACGTGGTGTATATCACTGAGAAGCACATTCAAGGATGGAGAATATGGACGGGGCCGAAATAAGAGCATTAAATGGCCCCGGGCAACAGCAGACATGATGTCACGTCATTTAGATATGCATCGAACACAGGGAATTGTTACACAGGCTGTTCAGTGAGTGTCATAATAAAATGAAAATATTAAGTCATATCAAATAGGCCTCTATTAGATATTAAATCACTTTAACTTGTTAAAAGACATTTGTGAGTGGAAATGGGGGGTAGGCTTGGGGGGCGGGTGCCCTGCTTGGTGCCGGCAAGGGCATGATGCCCCTGGAAATGTGCCCAAATGCCCATATTGGATGTCAAGACTCAACTGTGTCGATGAATTTTTATTTTTGGGATTAAGCCTCTATATGTTAAATCCTCTATACACCATAAGTCATAAAGCTGATTTAGTACTTTCTAGTGAAAAAAATGATCAACACACCATTGTCCTCTCCGGACCCCAGCATTTTATGACATTACAGATACGCTATGCAGCAGCTGTTCAGACCCACCTATAATCCCGGCTGGTCATATACTGAATTGCTTTATTAACGTAATAGTATTGACGGTTTCTAAGTGCACATGTCAGTGCATCTTATTATCTCGTCTTTGTTGCATTTAGACAGAGAAAAATCATCTCACCCTTTGAAATATACATTTTGTTATCAGTGAGAAATGAAATAAAAATGATTTATCCAGTGTGAGTCATTTGGATAATAAATTTGTCATGTGACTCTGGCTTTGTCTTGCTGTGAGCGCTCAGATATCAATAGAATAATGCTGGCTGTAACCTGGAGTGGCACCTGTGAGAACTTATTCCAAATATTTTCCTTTTCACTGCAGATCTGTAGATCAGGGATGAAACACTGAAAGCTTTGGCCTGCTGATGCATTTTTACTACATCAGGGAAAACACAAAAAGCATCCTGAATTGATTTGGAAATAATTAAGCTAATTCTGAAAACGGAGAATCGATGGCGCTGCCTCCCAAGGAAGACCACACAGCTAGTTATTTTCTTCAGAGCATTGGCTCCACATTAACCCCATACTCCATCAACACTAACTTCATTAGTGGTCATTGGTTTGCCTTAAATGGCTTGTTTCAAAGACCATTAAGTTACTCGCCTCTGTTGAATACCCCTTTTTGCTCTAGATGAGAGCGGAAAAGCTTATCAAAAGTAACACTGAAGTAAGTATCTTCAGATTTTAATGTATGGTAGACGTTACACACAAAACTCCTGGAAAAAACCTGTTTTATGCTTATATATAAACAGAATGGATAAAAATGAGGAGGGAACAAAACAAAAACTAGACAAACATAGGCAGGCATATTTACAAAAATGAACTTTCCAAACACATTTATTGGGCCAATAACATTAATCAAACACAGTGTATGACCATTGTAAACAATAAAACAGAAAAAAGGCATCAGCTTCAGAACTGCTCCAGAATTCAAAGTGCGCCAAGCGTAAAATACTCAACTCTATTCATATTTTTCCTCTTAGTTTTTTGTTTCTGTTTTGTTTATTCATTTTCAGCATTAGTAATAATAATAATCATAATAATAATGATAATAATAATAAGGATATTTACAAGGCCAAAACACTCAGTTTCACACAGACGGTATTGTTCAATGTTTATCTAACATAGCTTGATTTGAGATCGCTGAAGACGCAGACGCACAGGTCGTGCCCTGCTGATCTCCTGCGACCTGCATGCCTTTTCAATACAATGACAAAATGTAGTTCTGAAGCCTTTGCGGTCGTCCTCCTGACTGACATGTCTGCTTCCGTTTGATTTTCTGCAAGGTGTTCATATGTACAAAGGCTAAAAAGTCACATTTATTTCCTCTGGTGACATGGCTGTCTTTTTCTTACATTTTAAATTAGTTTTTCTCCCAAAAAGTTAGGTATCAAAACATTTTTTTATAGATATAATATTTTTTGACTACTCAGTGTTTGATTAAAATGTTCTTGAAGTATGAAATTAGGATTTCTGCTGGTAACGGCAAAGTCTTTTCTCGCTTATGTTTTATTTTAATAACATGATGTCATGAAACCTGGCAGGAAAAAAAGCAATGCAGTCTTGATCCTGTTAGATGGTGTTTTTTGCCACTTGTTCTTGCTTTTTCTCAAAATACTCATATCTTTGATCATCAAAGGGATTCTATTTTAGAAGCCATTCATTAACTGAAAAAGAAGAGTGACAGACAGAGATCAGAATATTTAATATTTTAGGACTGTAGTACAAATTTGGGTTTCTTTCCTACAGAGAGAGACAACATTCATTGTATAGTATAATGCAATATGTAATATTTCTGATATATACTTTATCTAATAAACCACTACACAAAATGTTTTTTCTCCTGGGTTGATAAAGGTACATTTTAAGTGCCCTCACCAGGTAAAAAATACTACAGCATTATTTACATAAATTAGTACCTAAGAGTGCATCACAGCTATAAGACATTTACTGTTTGCATTTACAAAACATGAAAAAAAGCAAAAATTTACAACAATTACTGTAAAAAGTACATCTTCACATTTTTCATAGTTCATCTTCACACTTCAGGGAGGGGTGGGAGGTTGAAAATCTCAGCAACAACAGCACAAAACTTGAGTTTTTATCAAGGAGCAACGAAAGACACAGTTACGATAATCAACGGTTTTGAAAAGCAATACAATGAATAATGAGTTACCTCCTGACCTCAATTATTTATGCGCAGGGTAAAATTCACGTTTTGTGCAGCTATTGCGGAGATATATTAGCTGAAACAGACAAAAGGAAATGGTAAACGGCATGCGTGCAGCCTCATCTGCACATGAAACAACCAAAGGCGGGGAGGGGGGGGGGTGGGTTCTGTTGTGAGGCTCAACTTTATGCCATGATATCAGACTAACTGTCCCATAGGAATATAACAGAACTAGTTAAAAGGAGGGAAATGAGTAGTAACATTGTGATTTGGAACAGCAATATGGCAAAATCAATGCTATCTGAAACAATTCTGACGTTGCCTATTCCTTTTGCACAAATAATATAAACATGTGTTCAACATTACAGTGTTGTGGTATCTCATTTCTGAGTTTGTTTTCCATTCCCTAGAGGGGAGACAGACAAGGAGAGACAGAGAGAAAGAGAGAGAGAGAAGCAGACAGAGAGGTAAGCATATAGAGACGTCCATGCATGCAGGAAACAAGGAAAACGGTCACCTTAAGTAAGACTAGAGACGAGTGGGTGAAATGAGACGGTGATGAGACAGATAGAAGATAGCAAGGCAGACACTGGGGGCCACCAGCTGCGGTAGCAGAGAAATCCAGCCTTTTACCTCGATACTGTAGCTTCTGAGCCCTGTTATTGGGACAGTCCTTTCCCTGCATGCTAAAGTTGATGTTGGTCCGGATGCAGCGGTTGTTGAGGGGCTGCGCAGGCCGCACGTTGTCACTCATGCTGAGGAAGATCTGCGAGGGCTGGTTCTGACTGAGCAGACGGAGGGAGTGCATCTATAGCAGAGAGGGCCAAGCTCAGGAGGGGAGCGCGAGCCAGAAACCTAAGGACACGTGTGAATTTCCGCTAAAATGGAGGTGTGGTGTTTAAGGAGAGTGGACTGGAAGAGAGCCGGGTGCTAGACCTGCTTAAGTAAGCGACTAATTGTCCACAGGTCAAAGAATTACCTGCATCCTTGTCACATACACAGGTTTGTTCATCAGGATCCATGTTGCAGTTTCGTAGCATGGCGGAATGGTCATTGATCCGTCGTACGTGATAAAACTTGAGGTCTCGGGATATACCTCCTCAATGTTTAATCCAGTTAATAAGTACGCATCATCTAAAAACAAAGGCAGCTTGAATTTATTGAGTGAAAGCAGAATTGTTAAGCCTCAATTAATATTTGGTGTTTCTGGGAGGTCAGCTTTTTACTGAAAAAATTTCAGTCATTTTCAAGAAAGGTAATTTGTTTTTGGTTAAAAGAAATATATTCAAACTACAGTCACAGTTGTTGCATATTTATTGCCAGGGTATAGAGGCCTGTCAGCACAGTACATTGGTAGAAGTACTATGATTCCCTGATGATTGCATTTATTTGAAAAATGAAATGACATCCAGTAGCTATTTTAAAACTGAATGTCCACACGTTAACCATTCTGTTGGTGCCGTAGAATGGAAACACATAAGACTTAATGACTACTGTATACTGAACATAAGACGCCCAGGGTAGAGTCTATTACTGAAGAGTGGAGCTTCTCCCTTGACATAATGCAGTGACATACTTTCAGTTACTTGGGGGTCTTCCTAGGTTGCTGCTGAAAAATGGAGATCAAGTCCTACTATGCGGAGGCTGCTGTGCGGGGTTTCCCTGCTCTCACCATGACATCTTGTAAACATCATCCACATTAATGGTTTAGCTCCTTAACCGAGAGCGTCACACTAACAGGCCCAAATTCCTCTTCTGCTTGCATGTGCACACACACATGCACTAAAAATAAAACTGTTATTCTTAGGCTTCCCTCAGCTTTGTTGAATCCCCTTCCACATATCCCTGCAGTCTTGTAGCTTTGTTCTGGTACTGCATCATCTCCATTAGTGTCAATGTGGCATAGCTAATTTGTATTTCCTGTCTCCGGCTCCTGGGTGTGTCTCTCAGCTGACGACAGCCAACTGTGTCCATCCGAAACTGAACACTTACATGTCATGAAATGGATTTCATTTAGAGGCCTAAAACGTGACCGATAATGTGGTGCAAACTGTTAGTATGCATGAGATCATTATGAATGCATCTGGACATAATGTGGTTGCCGTCTTGCACATTATCTAACATGGATGTGTTCCAATGTTGTAGCATGACCCTCAAGAAAGTTAAAAACTGTTCAATTTTATCAGTGAAAAAAATCATATTCTAGTCAGCTTGTGTAAGCGGGTGTTGTTTTCTTCGGACATTTGTACAGAGCTGGCACTTCCTCCGCCATGTTGACACAAGTGTCTGTGCAAGCAATGTTCTTCATCTTTGGATGCAACTCCAGTGACTTTGTGGGATTTCACAGAATGTAGTACGTCATCAGGGTACCATTCGCCTACTGTCTCATCGTTGCTGAGGATTCTGACATACTGCTTCTTTGCATACTGCATACTTGCATACTGCTTGTTTGCATAATATATAGTCTGCAGACTACATAGCAAATAAGTATTCAGGTGTGGACTCACCCGTTGTCTCTGTCATGCGCCAAAGTCAGCTAATTTATTTAATTTTCTATTCATTCAATTATAAACCTCTTTCTTCCCATTATGAAAAAGTCCCTGCGCTTCTTCTGCTATTCCAGTTGATTTATTTGGTTTTATATGTGAAATATTTCTACCCTGCTAGGAACAGAATCTTTCTGGATGACGCTGTGCTCGTGCTCAGCTCATGGACAGGTTTCTTCATCATGAATATGGTGAGAACAATGCACCACGGTTCCTGGGTGGTCAGATCCTGACCAAACCAGCTTGAAAATGGGACCTTCTGGATCACTGGCTGACAGAGCATTTCCCGCTATCAGCGTGGTGGAAATGCTGGATCTTCTCCTTGATGACTACAGCTGCATCCCTCTAATAGAGTTCAACATACCCCTATGCCAAATCAATTTCAGGCTGTTCTAGTGGCTGATAGAGACCTACAGTAACACCCTTATAAGATGCTTCCTGCTGGTGTTTTACTTCTATATGGACATACTCTCCCTCTTTCTTTTTACCGTACACCTATTGAAATGCTACCATAAAGGGAAATTTTCGATTAATCTTAAGAATAAATTGCAGTTGCAAGTACAAAGATGCTAAAATAAGACAAAGTCTTACATAATATATATAAATATGCATAACTTACTCTTATATGTTATTCTGGTGATGGTGTCTCTATTCAACATACGATTTAGAAATGGATTTGAAGACTCAGATATCTGGAAAAAGAAAGAAAAAATGAACACAATTACATATAATAAACAAAACAAGATCAAATATTTCAATTTTCTGTTAACTTCAGTTGCCATAGAGTTAATGGTCTACTTCAGTTTCAATATTGCAATCAATAAGAATTTAACTAATTGCTGATGCTTTATTGGGTAGCATGCGCATTCCTGGTTATATTGATCTGATTGCAGTAAAAAGTAATGTGTTTTATCATTGCCTTTATTTAAACTAGCAAAACCGGTAAACGTACGACTTAAAAATTTCATATAGACACGTTATCCTGTATTAATTTACATTAATATTGCATTATGTGCTAACTAGGAGATATGACATACCGTCTCTGAGATATTGCTGGTGCACTCATAACTTTTAATAAAAGCTGATCAACTGTAATGACTTTGCAGCAGACACTCACGCAAGAGAGTTTATAGTACTGATAGGACATTTTTCATTTTAACCCAGTTATTGGTTTTAGCATGATTACCCAATTTTTTGTAATTTTTTTGGCTCAGTAATTTTTTTTTATAGTAAAGTAATTTTATGTTTTGTTTAACTGAGAAATAGTTGTATACACATAAAACACTGCACAAAAGGTACAATTTAAAAAGTATTTTTGGGGTAATTACTACACCTTAGTATAAAAATCTGTTGTAAGTACTATATATAGACTACATCTTGTAGATGTTGTGTTTGGATCAACCCAGAATGATCCAGATAATTTTCCTCAATCTCTGTCCGTCTCTGAAATGTCTGTGCTTGTGTGATTCCCTTTTGCTGTGCCTGGAAAGCCCTACTGGCAATCCAGACCCACTTTGACCTGGAAGAGAGCAGAAGAGGTTCCTCCCCTGTTAGGATGTCATGCAAAGGGTCATGGTGAATGAGAGGCAAAGTGGACCTTAAAGGCTGGGCCACTGACACTCTGCTTGGCAGCCATCTCTTTGAGAGCCCTGCAGGAAAACCATTTACACCACAGCGGACTGCAGTTCCATTTGGGTAAAGATGGGAGATGCATTAATCCCTCAAAAAAATATAAGAGCCTTTGGTATGACTCAGTACATCACAGACAATGTGCAGGTATGGTGTGTCAGACACGTTTTACAAAAAGAGTGTATTACTGATATGGAAAGGAGCTGCAAATGCCTGATGTGGCATTGCATAAAAAAAAAAATCACAAATTGCTGGCTTGTTTTTTAGTTTTGAAACACAGCAAGCAAACTCTGCATGTTAATAATATGGTCGTGGTTCATAATCTGTATTGTGAGGATAAGAAATTATTTCGGCTATGTGGCTTCCCAGCACATAAATGTAGATAGGCGGTTTATGGAATACCGGTAATGTCACTCCAGAGTTTGACTTTCTCTCCTCTCATTTGCATATGATTATGGCGATTCATAAACAGGGATGGTACAACCTGTAAAAATACCACCTGCTCTTAACTGTCAATAAATACTCATGAAGGAACCCTGAAGCTACCTTTTTTATATATTATCATTATACTAACTATATGACGGGCAGAGTGCCGTAAGGTTTGTGCCTATGGCCTATAGGTTATTGCAGACAATGAAATGACAGATGTGAAGATGCATAAAGCAGCCAGTGCTGTTTACTGACACTTTGTGGTGTTGAACAAGGGACACACAAAGACGCATATGCCTTGGTCCGCTTTTAAGACAATTAAGCCGTCCCAGTTGTGGCAACGCTAACGGCCAATTCAAAAGGTGGCAACTGGTTGCTTCAGAGATGCTGTTGGCTTTGGTGTAAAATAGTCCAGTGTATTCAGATGCATTATGTGAGAATCTAATTACACAGGAACACACTGTTGTTTCCAAATGCATAAAACAAAGGCAATTTCTTTAAACAGATAAAGGCTTTCCTTAAGTACTAAACACATATTCTATTTACTACTCCCATTACAAAGTAGTGAAATTTAAAAAGGAAAAATGTTCCACTCTACAAAATAACAATATATTTTCCTTCCCTTTGAAATTTTCTATATATTTTTCACTTTATTTAAAAGAATTTCCGAGCATTTCCAGCCTAATAATGTGGAGTTCACCAGCAGGAAAAAGAATGTTTTTGTTGGCTTTCTTCCATGATTTGACAGTTGCTGTCCATTATATTGTAAGGCATTGCATATTTAACTTTTAATTAGCATAAGTTTTAACTGATTGTTGCTAGAGGCAGAAATTTGGACGAGGCAAAAGTAATTACACATGGTCACTCGCAGAGTCTTTTATGAATCCAATAACAATAATGACACTTAGAATTTGTGAGATAATTAGCTATTAACCTACATCTTAATGGATCACCTCATTTAGAATTTAATTTAGAAGAATTAGGAATTTTACTAAAAACTTGATATTTTACTTATTTCTACACACACACCTGATCCTCAAATTTCCATCAAGACCCAGCGGGTGAGACCTGAGCTGCAGGGTGATGTGTGTGCTGAACACTGGGGAAGGAGGACTTTGCAGGTGAGCACGTTGAAATCCACATACAATATATATTGTATTGACTTAGTATTGATTGCTTCCCATAAAAAAATTTTTCTTGATTGAAAAAACTCCCAGTAGTGCTCCAAACAGATTATCTCTGAGTGAAAATGACTAAATTCCATTACTGATACAAAGGAGCTAACGCTAACCATCTTTTGAGCTTTTTACACACTGGCTTCTAAATGTAAGTCCTTTCCCCAGTTAAAAGAATTTTAGACTGGGGTGACAGTGATCCGGTTTACTGTCAGCATGGGAGGTAGTGAGACAGAACAGGGTAAAATAATCAAGTGGCGTGGCAGAGAAGACAGGGGGGGAAGGATGCAAGCTCTGACTTTCTGCTTGGTGAGCAAACAAAGAGCATTTTCATAAACAGGCCAACAGAAGCAACAGCAGGAATAATTTCCCACTTGGCCTTTTCAAAGAGATGCTTATTTTCTTAGCATGAGCACACAGAGTCTTCTGTAGAGAATATGTGGAATGTCCTAACATGACCCTGACCTCCCGAGGCTCATACTGTATGGTGAGCCATAGCTGAAAAGCCTATTCAGAGCGATACTTTCAGTACGTCTATACATCATTATTTCCCATTTTCCCCTTAAATAAAAGAGATAAATGGAGAAATAAATTAAATTAAATAAGGTGTGAAATACAAGACACAGTGCACCCTCCTGAATCAGAATATTCCTTCCTTATGTAAGAAGCAAATCTATCAACTAACTACATGAATAAATTACACCACCTTTAGATGAATAAAATATGTCTGTGTAAGCAATGGTAACATGAAAATACTGCGAATGTACTCCTTAAGGAATGAACATGACACACAGGAATTTTTACTGAGGTCAGTGAATGAAGGAGGAATTGATGCCGTTACCTTCATGAATATAGATACAATCACCAATCCATTTGGACTTTTTGCTGCCTCTGTGTAGTTAGTATACAGCTCATGGTTATAATGTATTAGCTGGACCTGTGGATTAAAGAAGAGAGAAGAACATAAATATGATTTAAGGGAAGTCATCTGCAGTGTAGTGTTGCACTTTTTTTCTGGCAGATAAGGTGAGGCTATCTGAGGGTATTTTGGCTTGCTGCCCGGCAATGACTGAAATGGAGAAGTTAGAAGGTTTCATCCCCAAAACTTCATCGATTTAACACATAATACAATACAAAGTTTTTGGGTCTTAAAGGCTTAACTCAAACCCAGATGTTTTTATGAGACTGGCTAAACAACAAAGCAGCAAAAATACAAAAAGTAAAAAATAATAATAATGACATAGTTGGAGCATCACCCATCCAGCCTGCTTTCACCAGACAGTTCCTCAGCTCATATTCACATATTCATTCAGGATGCCTGCTCTGTGACTTCATACATGCATTCCCTGTCCCTCATCTCTGATTTTTTTTTTATTATTATTTTTTTTTATCTACACCAAAAATGTCAACCCATGAAAAACAAAAAAATGTTGTGAACATCAAAAATGAATGTTATAACTGAACTGGTACAGCTAGCTTAGCTGCAGCCACTTCATTAAGTGTGCATCTTCAGCTTTTTTAATTTGATAAAAATAAAAAAAAACATTAATAAATAAAATTATTTCTAAAGAAACCAGCCCCAAAAATTCAATTCAAGAGAAGAGTTCTTCTTACTTCTTAAGTTCTTTGTTAGTTCTTCATTTTAACTGATTTTGAAAAGCACCCTAGCCTTGATGCGCATACTAGATGCAGCTCAGTTCAGCAACATATTTCAGGGACATTATCAGTGTCATTCACAATAACAAAACTTATTCATAATGAGTAGCCCAAGGAATATATTTTTTTTCTTAAGGAGAGAGAATAAATTGCAGTAATTAGTTCTTCTTATTATATATTTTCAGTTGTGTAAAACTGGGCCTTGATACCTGTAGGACATGAGGCAGGCAGCCATGGGAGATACGGTCACCACCTGGCCAGGAATGCATCACAGAGAGCCACCTTGTTAGCCCTCAGCACACCTAGCTGCCAACGACACGGCTCAGCTAAGCAAGATGGACAGAGGAAGCCCTTTCAGACACTGAGATGTGGTAAATATCTGCCTGAAACAGTCCAAGAAACAGTAACACTGAAATAAATCTAAACAGACATTTCCTATCTTCATTGTCAGAACTCTTCATTGTGTCTACTGCAGAGTGTATTGGTTGAGATTCATTCTCTACAAAAGTCATTTCCAAATGATTCACTCAGTTCGGCTTCCTTGCCAGACCCATGATATCTGCTCTTTGCACTGGCTGGTGCTTCTACTGTGCAAACAAAGCATTTGACTCACCCCAAATTCTGTTGCCCATCTGGTTTTTAATAACCCAGAGTACAGTCCTCCATCGGTTTGCTTTCTGTCCGCTAAATCACACAACTAAAACTGAAGCAGACGTATAGCTACAAAGCACCAAAACCTGGCGATGTAGGACACTAACTGTGTATAAGGCAAATATAGTCTCTTAAGTCTTTTATAGCTCGTAACACTGCTGCAGTTTAGCAATAAAAATGTTACATTGATCAACTTGAGACTCTGCTTTAGCTAAAAAATGTCTGTTGAGGCTAAAATCCGTTGCACTCTGTTGCACTGTCAATCTTGTGCTAGCACTTTTCCCTACAAAAAATTGGCACTCATTTCTCCCTGGATGCCCTTGGGCTTTCCTAGATCCTGTGCCCACCCTTGGGACATCCTGGGACTAATGTGTCGCTAACCTGCCCGTTTCGGGAAATGTGTCTGGAGACCTGGGAGACCTGGGAGACGGCCTTCGATTCCAGCACCACTCAGGCCTTGCCTGTCTCTTATAAATACAGAATACTTACTAAAGTAGTTTCACAATCTTTGTAAATCCATCCAACTTTCAACGTTTTATCCTGGACCTGGAGCCCAAGGCACAAAGCTGAGGTACACCCTGGACAGACTGCCAGTTCATCACAGGTCACATACCCACACAATCATGTGGAACTATTTTTTCATATCATCACCTTACACGAGGTAAGATGTATTGGTAACACTTTACTTAAAGCACCCGTGTGTAACGCATTATAGATACCTTCATAATGCATTATAATGCATTCATAAAGTATTATACACACAGCTATAACTATTTATAAAAAGGCATCATAGCCTTATTATGCAATTTGAATGCTCTGTGAAGCTCTCATCTATAATTCACTATAAATACCTTCATAATGCATTATAATGGATTATAATGACCATTATAATGTGTTAGTCCCAGGATGTCTCATTATGGTGACTGCTTTAAGTAAAGTGTTACCGATATATTTTATCTTCTTACATTTCTGAATTGTGGAGGCCACTTTTACAGGACAGTAAGACAACATATGTGTAAAATATCTGAAGTTAAATAGGTTATATTGGTAAACAATATTTCACATTTATTTTGACACTTTTTTGTCTCTGTGTGTATTCCGAGAATATGCGAAACAAATATGCATAACTCCTACAGCAATTTAAACTGAGAAAATAATCTCAGTGTAGTAGTGCAGAGATTGACAGCTGAGACTTTCTGCCTTGAGGTGGTTATAAGAAATAATTCCAAATAAGTAGTTTAGAGTCACTTCAGATTGAAAAAAAACAACAGAGCTCGCATGATAAGCGGAAGTCTAGCAGTCTCCCGAAATACTTACACCGGCTTCTGTACAGTAAACAAGTCACTCTGACGTCACTGTTTTCCTTACTTGGCTGGGAGGAAATGAGAGATGGAAACGATTTGGAAATGTAATTCAGGGACATATGTCAGTGTCATTGTTCAGCTCTTTTTGTTATCTGTGACATAGTCGCCCCACAAAACACACTGACAGATGTAGGAAAAAATGGTGCCACTTGTCAACACATTCAAAGTGAAGAAACTCTTGGAAACCATCAGGAAGCCTCCTCCGTGTAGGTCGAAATGCAGGTGTATCGCACTTAAGGGGCACAGTAACATGTCAGATTGCCCCAGCTTCAATAGCTGACTTGAAAAGGGCACGATCTTTACAGTTTGAAAGTATCGGCGAACCGCGAAACAAATTTAATGTGACATTTGAAATGTGACGCCCTGATTGCAGCTGTCTGACAGAAGCTACTATGTGAATTTTTCATAATGATGTGGGTATTGACTGCTTTTATTTATCTTATTGATCTATCACAAGAAACGCTTGAAATTTGACACATGCTATCAACACTGCAACACATATACATAGAATGGCTAGCTGTAGCATGTTTCTTATTTTAAAATATGCATTTTTCCAGGTGAGGGGCACACCTGTCAAAGCAAGATGTTTCCTACAGTCGGACATCTAGATCCGAGGCCCAGGGAATGCAAATTGGCTCATGTTCCATGAGGTGGTTTTTGATGCCTGGGTTCCACTCCCTCTCATCGCTCTACAGCTGCGTGTTCTGTCAGCTGACCTCCCACAGGTCTGTGGGTGGAATCGAAAGAATACCGCTTGCTTCCAGATGTACTACATCGCTCAGAAAAAAACAGACGTCACAAACACTAAGGAGAAACTTATAGCTTCAAAGGAAATGTGTGCCGGTCTGCATTGCTCATGAGTTGGCATGGGCTGTGTGTATCCAGCAGGAGACCTACGATCGAATTAATTGGCCATTTCAAACTGAGTGTGAAACAGGAAATAACAAGATGCAACGTGACATATAAATACAACAGTTTGTAGAATACCTTTTAATACAGTGATTTAACTGTAAAATTAATATCGCATTGATAGGGTGGCATGGTAGGGTAGTGATTGGCACTGTGACCTCACACCTCTGGGACCAGGGTTTGAGTCTCTACCATGTATCAATGTGTGTAGTTTGCATGTTCTCCCTGCATAGTTTGTGGGGTTTACACCCACCCCCCCCTCGCCATGGTGTAAAAACATGCCAAGGTGAATTTGAGTTATTAAATTGCCCATATGTGTGCATGTGTGAGTGAATGGTGTGCGAGTGTGCCTTGCGATGGGTTGGTGCCCCACCTTGGGTTGTTTCCTGCCTTGCGCCCGTAGTTTGTAGGACAGGCAACCCTGAATATGACAAGTGAGTATGTAAGATTGACGGATGCATTACACTAATAAATTTTTTTTAAAACCGTCTTGAAATACTCGTCTTGATATTCCAGTGCTGATTACATTGTTACTTTATATTTGCATTTCAGTGTTTTTAGAGAAAATGAGAGAGCCTTGCAAAGGACTGCTTTCCCTTACATACTGTAGCTATTTACCTCAGGCTTTCTGGCACAGACTGCAAATCCCCATGACCCCAACAGGCTGAGTTTAGACAGACAGTATGCACCTCTCACAACATCCACATTTAAACGAGAAAATTGTCACTCAAGTTCAAAGCAAATAGTCAAAAATTTGGCTTAAAAAGTACAGTGGTACCTCGGTTCTCGCACTCACTAGAACTTGAATTTCTTGAAAGTCGAACAAACCAGTTTGACCTAGAACTCGATCTGAATATCAAAAGTCGAGCCGTGAACGCTAACCTAATATAAATTGTACGCGCCAGGAAATGAGTCATACTACAGTGCAATTCTTACTTGAATGCCTTCTTCACAGACTGGACGATTAACCAAATAAAGCAGCGCAACATTACAGTAACTAACAATAAATAAACCACTAACTTACAGTACGTGTACTATTAGAGCATTTATGTAATTTATTTAAACTTTATTTTACCAGGTAAATTAACTGAAAACCAGTTCTCACTGCTTTACGTGATATTCGGGAGAAATAGCAGATTATGCATCGGAACTGCCTGGGATACAAACGTCATGCATGTAACTAAACTCTTCAGCCAATAAGGGCAAAGGTGTGTCGTCACGGAGGCGGTTCCAGTTTGTGCAGCCGGGTGAGAGGTCGCAATGCATCTAACCGTAATGCATTGCCTCAGGATCAGAATGCGTTGCTTTAAGCCAGCACTGTAAGCAAGTCGAACGCACCCAATGACCGGACTGGGGA